CCCAATATTTACATGTCTTATCAAAACAAAACAAAAAATCAAATAATTTTAAACACCAAAACAATAAAAAAAAAAAAAAAAAAAAAAAAAAAAAAAAAAAAAAAAAAAAAATCGTAAATTAACAATTTATTTAAAAAATTTTTTCAAGTATATGTTATTATGTTTTACATACCTCGCCTAATTTTTTCAAATCATCCAATGCTCTTTGCAAGTCTCGTTCTTCAATTTCTGCGCCAAGGGCCATGGAAACATGAACTTCACTTGTTGAAATCAAATCAACTATAATTCCATATTCATCTAGTGCTGCAAATATTTGTGCGAAAAATCCGTGGCTAATAGTTTTTCTATTAGAATGAATGTTAAGAACAATAATATTATTCTTAATAGTAACTGCAGTAGGATGTTTCCTCGACATGTCTCGATGATAACCATTTTGATGTAGAAGCTCGGAAATGTTAAGGCGTGTTAAATATCCATTTTTAAGGGTGTCAGGAAAAATAACTGTCCCTTTACCCAATGGATTCATAACATTCTTTATGCGAATTGGGATGTTATAGCGCATAACCTGTTCCATGGTGAATGGATGTATAACCTCTGAACCATAATAAGTTAATTCAGATGCTTCTTCCGGAGAAATGATGGGAAGAAGTCGTGCATTTTTCACCTTACGGGGATCTGCTGTAAAAATACCATCAACTTCTTTCCAAATTTGAAGTTCCTTAGCACCAATCCCAACTGCAAGAAGAGCAGCACACAAATCTGTGTAACCACGCCCAATATTAGTTAGAAGACCGCCAGGCACTCCAAAGAAACCTATAATATTTTATAAAAAAATCATTATTAGATCATAAATATAATGATATACATGAATATAATTTAATTGTATAATACATTACCTGTAACAACTGGTATACGATCACCACATTTTTTAACGGTTTCCGCGATTCTTCGTGCCAAATAGTCATAAAACATTTGATCAAAGTGGTTTGTATATAATTCATAGTACTCTTGTTCGACGACACATTCAAGATTTATGAATTCGGCATTAATTCCCTAGAATATAAATTTATAATTTTGTAAAAAATAAATTTGGAATAAAATTCTAAAGATAAAATAAATAAATACCCTATCTCTTAATGCTGACGTGACAATTCGACAAGACAACTTTTCACCAGCACTAACGATGATATCTTTTGAACGTGTAGATACCTCTTCAATAATCTAAAAGTTTAAAATAATAATTAGAGATAACGTAAAAAAAGATGAGTGTAAAATCAAAAAAAAACGATTGCAGAACTAGAACTAAAAAACCTACCTGTGCCGCTTCTAAAAAGCATTTCAACTTCGCGCAATCTCGTAGTATTTGTTTTTCTAACTCATCAAGAATCTTTGAATTCTTTATTAAACCCCTCGCTGCATTAATATGCTCTTGTCCAATTTCGTCGACTATTCTAAGAAATTCCTTTGAGTCTGGCGTTAAGACATCTTTAGCTGCCTTAAGTAACCTTTAGAAATTGAATATCATGACAATTGTTACTATTTAGAGATTGAATTATATCGAGATAATCTTATAACTTACTTATTAGTTGTTCCTTTTGTTTTTGTATCGCCGCTCCTAGCAGAACAAACAAGTGCAACTTGACACTTATCTAAGTGAGATCTAAGTCATTAAATATTGAATCGTGTTGTTAAGATAAAATTCGTCCTATCTCCCCATTAAAATAATTATATACCAACCTCACGATCGTGCCTGAAATGCTGTCTAAAAATTTTCCTATACTAGTTCCACCAAATTTTTGTACAATCCAAGGCAAATTTTCTTGATTAGAGATCATAGTGTCTGGGGTCATTTTTTAGACCTTTATTAATAAAGCAGCTATACAATGATTGAACAACTTATATGTTGTCGTGCACTAAATGCTAAGACGAAGAATGAGTCATATCAAAAAAAAAAAGATTTTTGTTTTTTTTAACATAATGCAACAATGATTTTTTTCCTTTTTAGTATGTATGACCAATATGACCAATTAAAAAATATTTCAATAGGCAGGGTAACAACGTTATCGTTATCATTATCATCTTTATAACTTTAAAAAAAATTCACTTATTGTTGAATCTAGATTATACTATATTTGTACTTGTAATACAACATTATCTGAAGTTGTGCGCTAAAAACCAGTATCCGAGGAACTGATTCATTTTTAGAATGGCTCGGCTTGGCTCACTAAAGCCGTAGCCGAAGTCAAGCCATAGAATAAATAGGCATGGTGCAGCCAAGCCATGCATATATCATGGCTTGAGTTAGCCAAGCCGTTTAAGTCATGGCTTAGTTTTCTGAGCCCTGCTAACTATGACTTAACGTTAAGCTATTGTGAAGTTACAGGACTTAAATCAACTACGTCTTCAAAATCATAGCTAAAGTTTATCAGCTTGGCTCAGGCTATGGCTGAAAGCCAAATTCAAGCCATAATTTTAAAGGCTTGACTTGATAGTGGCTCTGGTATCAAGCCGTGGCTGGAGCCGGCTTCAAGTGAAGCCGATAACATCTCTATTCATTTTGATAGATTTATGAATTCGAATTGCTAATTCTAACTATAATATACGTACGTACTGTACGTAGGTAGATTCAAAAGTTTTGTCGCATAGTGATTATCTCAATAAATTTAAACTTTGAAACTTATATATAAAAATAGTTATAAATATGTTTATAAAAAAATTTTGAACAATTTTAATTAAATAGTTTCAAAAAAATTAAATTTTGAAGTTCTAAAAACGATTGGAAAAATATTTTCGAAATAATTTATAGATCAGGAACAATGATATTTTGCATTTTACAGAATATTACAGAATCACAGAATTTAGATAGTAATTACATAAGTACGTATACAATCCAAATATATATAGATATAATTGGCTATTTATTACTATTATCTCCAACCTAAGTAAATTATTATTCATCCTGTTATACATAGTGATCAAATTTTTTTTTTTTATCTCTGATGCTAACATCTAGGGGCGCGTATAGTGCTCTTTTATTAAAGTTATTGTTTAATTACATTGTATATATCTAAATATCTTTTTAGTTTTTTGAGAACTATTTTTTAGACTATAGTAAAGGATATGTATATTATTATGTAGATGTTTAATTGCTATCTAAAGCATAAGTATACTTGTAAGATTATTGTCTTTCTATCTGAAAGCAATGTAAATACACTATATTTCATAAATAATATTTGTATATAACCAAATTGCTGTTTGTATATTTTTATAATCAATAATATTAGTAACTAAAAAAATTTTTTTTAGTGAAGATATGAAGGTTTCTACTTGGTTAGTCTTTAGGAAGTAATAGATTAGTTTTTATATTTTTTTTGTTAATTTTGTATTTTAAAGCAAAGTATTTAACTGTTTGTAGTCTATCTTCATACCAAAAACAATTTTTTGTAATAAGTAGATCTATATATTGTAGTTAATAGTTTAAAAGTAAAGCTTTGTAATAAAAGAATTAGAATATATATTTTTTTTTTGTTAAGAACTTTTTTAACTAATATCTAGTTAAATTGTTGACTAAAAGTATTTGTTATTAGTATTAATTTTTCTTTTAAAGCTTTTATAATTCTTTTGATTAAGAAATTATTTCTGATAATTTCTTTTATTTTATATCTTTAGAATTTTATAACTAGCTTGTTATTAATATAATTTTTTTTTAGTTTTTTTTAAGCTAGAAGATATAGTTTCTATTTTTTAAATCAAGTTTTTAATCTAATTATTCTGTTCTGAATATTTAGTTAATTAATATACTTTGTTTATTAAAGAGTATTTCTGCAATTTTATTTTTTAAATTTTGCTTAGATAAAGTTACTAGTAAAAAGTTTTTTTTATATTAAGATTAGTCTAATATCTAATATATCTCTTACTATTAGAAATCTTTTTTTTTTTTTTTTTTTTTTTTTTTTTTATACAGGTTGATGTGATCAAAAATATGGCAATTTTAAGTTTAGTTGGAAAGCAAATGAAAAATATGGTAGGTATTGCAGGCAAGATGTTTACCACATTAGCTGCAGCGAATGTGAACATTGAGATGATATCTCAAGGCGCATCCGAAATTAACATTTCTTGTGTTATTGATGAGTTTAATGCAGAAAAAGCGTTAAATGTTATACACGATCAACTTCTGAATACATCACAATTACTGCCAGTTGGGAACTTGTTTAGATAAAAGTAATAGAGTAATTAATAAGTTTAGGTCGGCTTTTATAATGTTTATAGCAAACGACCCAAAAGTAATAATAGTTAAATCTTACAAAAATGTAATTAAAAAATGTTCTTTAGTCACATAATATCTTAATTAATGTGTGTTTTTTTTTTTTTTAAGCATCATAATTTAATATAATTACATGATGATAAATTGGTTTAAAGAGTAATTTTAATCTGACAAGCCACTGTGAAGCATTAACATTTTATAAGTTGATTGGTTAAAAAATATGTATAGTGTGTATGGTGGAAATCTGGCTGGTATTCACTATCGGTAAATTACCAAATGCTAAGTGCTGCCATTATTGGAAATTTCCGTTATAGTACGTACGGTTAAGCGAGTCAAGAGTTTTATAGACGATTAAATCGTTAAAAAATTTGCATAAGCTTTTTTTTCGCGGTTCCAATCCTTAATATTATCAAATTGTTAGATACATAACAATTATACAAGAGTGAGTTTTCCTTGATTAACAATGTTATGAAGATCTATAAATAAAGTTCTGCTGTATTGAAACTTCGCATTCGTTTCTAATTACATATCGTTAAAAATCTTAATAAGTTGATATTAATAGCTCTCTGTAAGACAAAATTTAATATGAAATAGCCTATTCGATAATTGGATGAATGAAACCATATAAAAATACGATAACATTAAAGTAAGTGAATAAATCGCAATTTACATTTATTAGAATCTATGCTTTATTTTTACAGATTTGAAATACTTCATAATCATCTACTATAACCATTTTTTTGAGCAAAATAACAAAACTTTGTTTATAAAAAATTACTTCTTATGGATTTTTTACATGACTAAGAATACTTTCAAATTTTCTTTTTTAATTAATAAACAAATAAAATTATCAGCTGTTTCATATAACCAAATAATAATTCCAAATAAGAGGATTATATCTAAGAATTTCACTTTGATTTTTAACTTTCAAAACAACTATAGAGTATATTATCGTATATGTTATGAAATATTTCGCTACTGAATTCATCCCTGCTTCCTCTAAGCATCAGTTTAAATTCATATGGAATTCCTGTTATAAGTTGTCGAACTCGATTAATCCATAAACAGCATACTCTAAAGTAATTATAGAAGAAGATAGTGATTTTCGAAGGGTGAAGTTGGCTTGACAATTTTTTGCGAGGAAGTAAAATGGTAGAAATAATAGGCTTAGTCGGAGGTAAATATCTTGCAATAATATCATTCCACAAATTCTTTTTTAAAGGAATGTATTTCTTCACTAGGGGAAGACAATTTTGAAGAGTAGTTTTTAATGATTTGAAATTCTCCTTAGTTTATTGCTCATAATTAAATGGTAAATCGGTGTTAGTGCTTTTCTCATAGAAATAATTTTACCTCAAATTTTAAATTCTGATATATACGAGAAAAATTTAAACGAAACCAAAAACCTATAATTTTCAATAAAGCAGACTAAAAGGTTAAATTCGTTGAAGGAGAAAGTCTTCAGGTTTCGTCATTACGTAAGAAGGAATGATAGACTCGCTATCCGTTTAACCCTAAAGCCTCGGATTTCTTAACGATTTCTTTTTTTTTTTAAAAAAAAAAAAAGAAAAAAATTGAGTGCATTGTATGCATCATCGTGTCCTCTTAGTCCCTAGGCAACCTTCCTATTTAGATTGATAAATTGGTTATCTGCCTCGGAGCGCATGTGTCTACACGGTACCGAGATATCGCAGCATAACTTTCACACATGCATACTAGATACGTAAAAACATATACTAATAGCATACTCCATGTAAAACATATCAACGTATACATATTAGCATACTCTATGTAAAAACATATCACCGTACCCTCCTAATTAGTCCTAAGTATAACCTTATCTTTCTAGACTACTTCGGCTGTATCGGTTTCAGAACGCATGTGTCTACACGGTACCTTGCGATACCGCAGCGTAACTTGCACACACGCGCGTACTAAGCATTAATACCCAGTAAAATAATTTACCTTCTATCACAAGTAAAATCGATTGTCAAATCGTAAGGTCGTGAATGTGATTGTTAAAAGCCTAGAAGAAATTAAAAAAAGAGCTAGTAAAAATTAAAAGGTTATTTAAAATATCAATAACATAAAAGCAGAGTAAATTTTAAATAGAACTTTTAAATTCCGTAACACAGAAATGAACTAGTTGGGTCTAGTAGGGTCGAATGTTCATAAACAACAATAATAAAAGTTTTTAACAAGAGAAATAATAAGAATAAATAAAAAGAAAAAAAAAAAGCATATTCACAAATAGAAAAAGCCACTAGTCTTAACGCTACGTGAGTTTTTCAAGTGCGACCGACTTGCCGTTTCACTTCGGATTTCTTCAAGAAATTTTTAGACGTAAGTTTAAGTTTGTTTTGATTTCAACCAATCATTTTTCAAGATCAGGTGTAACGTGACATGAAAATGGCAAAATTTTGGCTGCGCAGAATTTTTGGATTGTATTTTTTCTATTTTTTCTGATAACGCTATTTATCATAGAGCTCTTAAACTCGAATAGCACAACGTTCCAATTGGTCACCAGAGAAGCATGTATATAGTTCTATACAGTTTAGGTAATTTAATATTTAGCAGATAGGTTGGGACAATTTCACTATACATAAATATTATAACCATATTAAATATTTGGTAATTTGAATCTGGTCATGAATCCGATGTAAAGTCTCTGTTAGATCCATTAGGAAAAAATTTTTATATGTAAAAAAAAAAAAAAGTTACACTTACCAACACTGATACTTATTATACATAATTTGCCATGTTTCGCTCTACGATTTAATTATAGATTGTAAGCCTCGCTAAGCTAAGGCTTAGATGTAACCAAAATAATACGCGCATATATATAAGTATTGCGTACTTTAATATTTTTTGTCTTTGATATTATTCACAGATAGCTTAATTTTGTGAGGTTCTATTTTATAAGCAAAGATGGCAGAGCTTACGATAAGAATCTTGAGAATTATTGCGGTGACATTTATAAGCATATATATAATATTTGCATTTGTTTGTCCAGCGTTGGGTAATTATTTATTTAAAAGTCTACCCCCCAAAAAACAAAAGGTTTTTAACGAATAATTGTGTACGATTTAGAAATCGCAAAAATTAAAATATTTTCAGAAGTTGGAAGTCCATATAAATTAACTATCCAAATGGAATATGTGTAAATATCTGGAATAACTTTTAATGCGAAATTTATTATTCAGAATATTATTAAAAATAAAAAATCTCAAATTTAGTTACTTGGCGGTATCACTTATCCTACCAAGTAGGCATTTTACGTTTCATAGTGTTCTATTCATAAGTTTTATCTCCTGTGAACTTATATAGTTTGATAAAAAGTTTGGATTATTCTTTCGTCGGTTTTTAATTTTTGTTACAAACCTGATCTAACGCCACAAGGAATAGAATTAAAATTATTGTAATTTGTTTTTTTTTTCTTTTTGAAATGAGAGTTGGTGTGAATTTGATTGACCATATCTATTTCTATTTTTTAGGGTCTGGACTCTGTTATGGTTAGCCATCTCAGGTATATATATACATATTTTTTTATATTATACTTCGATACATAGTTTTGACTATATATCATTTTTTTGTTTGTAAATTCAAGTATTCTATACATTATTTACACGTGATGACATTGGAGGAGAACCATTTTATTGTCCGTCAAATATTACCTACAATTCCACCGAATTTTATACAGCTTGCCAGGTTCGTGCTGCAAATTTTGTTGCCATGTGGGTATTTGCCTTGTTGGCAGTAATATTAATGGTAACTATTCCTGCGGGACTTTTTCCACATGGTGACCACGAACGTGAAATGGTCAAAGATAAACCGATTGATGTTCTCGGGTTATGGACGAATTGTGATCCGGTATATCATGTGAAGTAATCTGAGGTTTAAAGAGAAGTCACTAGAAACTGTCAATTTTTTTGTATTGAATAAATAAAAAAGACACGACTTTTTTTTCTAGAATGTTTACGTTATATATAATTATGGTTCAATGTTAGAAATAACATATTTATATAAAACTCTTTCCGATGATCACCAAAACAACAAATCTGAAGAAAGAAAAAAAATAAAATAAACCTATATATGACTATTTTATACTAAATAACTAAATATTAATAATATATTCTAATCCCTTCTTTGAATATATCAATACACAATTAAAAGAAATAGAGACCTCACTTTCTTCACTCCTATATCTTTTAACAAACTTGTGTTGCCAACTATGTCAACAATATCTTCAAATAATAATACTATTAAACTAACAGAGAGTCTTATTGCTTCTACCACTACAGATATTCCACCCACTGATGAACATTTGAAAAAAAGAAACAAAAAGACTCTAACAATAGTAAAAAAAGACCTGCTCCATATACCGTTCATATCTATATGACTAATTCTGAAAACTTCAAAAAAAATTTACAAAAAAGTGGGGAATCTAGTTCTACTCTGATAAAACAACATATGACATCACATACAACAAATATTCTTATGACTCCTGATCAACAAAACAAAGAATCCAGAAAAGATTTTTATTCAGAACCTGATCTTAATAATTCAGAACTAATATCTGAATCTCTAGCAACAATACCTGACTCAGATCTCATAAATATGGAAGTTAATGCTCATACAAAAAATATAGAATCTATATCAATAATGAGTACAAGCATTTTTACTCTTATCTATAGTCAAGCTTTAACAGAGAAAAGAACATCTCAACAAAACTCAACAAAAAAGAACAACAATAACAACAACCTACAAGCAGACTATAAAGAAAAAGAGTAGACTAATAAAATAATCCTAGCTTTGAAAGACAGAAAGCTAAAAAAATACCAACTTATAGATACTTCACTCTGAAACTGTGACAAATATATAGAAATTTTTACTTCCTTTTCTGTACTTGAAGAATTTACTAAATACAAATTAAAGCATTTATCTACTAACTACTTTATCTCTGAAGCTATTCTTACTAAATTAGATTACTACAACATCTAATTCTTTCATACTTTTACTTACTTTGCTTAAACTCGACCTCAACATCAATGAGAATTCAATGACTTACTTATCATAGCAATTGAACAATACAAGTAACAACATGATATAATAATTACTAACAAAACAAATAGAGATAAAATCTTCTTTATACTTTGCAAGAAAATTGGAATAGATTATCTTTTAAACATAGACTTCAATACAAAAGATTCACATAAAATAGCTTGTTCAATCTTCTATCTAGCAAGCTTTACTAAAACTATGATTCTTTTCAAATTTAATAATGTCTAATAAATAATCTCTAAATGTATTATCAACAACTTACTACCACTATCTGATGATCCTAAAGATATACCTTCTTACATTAATGATGCCTTAAGTTTTGAATTACCTTTAACTAACTGCTATAATACTCATCAGATTATAAGAGTATTATGCAAAGTTTTTACTTTCTAAACACTTTCAAAAACATATTTCAAAGATAATTGCTCATCTCTACTAGAAAAAATTGAAGATCTATATTTAGAAATTAGAAACCATTTTCTAATCTTTAGTTGAGCAGACCTTAAACAACTATTAAATTACAAACAAGCTCTTTAGAAATACTATTTATGTACTAGAATATCTTTTCATTTTTTCAATCTGCCTGAGCGACTGCTATCTTTACCAGTTATATCTCAACTTCTCTCTTCATATCTTGAAGTAAAATTTCCTTTTTTTTCAAAAAACTGAAAGGATTTTATTTTTATTTTTATTTTTTTTTAACTTAGGTAACCTTATTCTTGGTTTATTAGTGGAAGATTTATAAAGAAATCATAATACAAAAGTAAGAAAAAAACTAATGTTTTAAACTACTAAAGTATCCTACTCTTATAACTTTGAATTTACTCAGTTTGCCTTGCACCGCTCAGATGCGATTTATCGCAAAAAGAATTTATCTCCCTAAAAAGTATCCTATCTAAGTAGAGTAGTTCTTTCAGATCAACAATAGGTTCTTTTACATCTTATCAAAATCCTAGGTTGCTTCTAATCTAATTGAAACTAAATTACAAACTATTAATACCTAGTCCAAGTTAAAAATAAAAATTGTTGCATATAATAAACGTAGCTAATTATATGAACTAAGCTTATAAGGGAAAAATCTGCTACCAGATTAAAAAACTCTTACAAGTAATAAAGTAAAGATAAAAGAAAAGAAAACAAACACTCTAATTAACATAAAGAAAAAAAGAGTGTGACAAAATATAAAAATATTATGCTATGCAAAAACAAGAACGCATATCTCTAGCAATAAACTCCTCCAGAAGTTAAATCCTAATTGGATCATCCACGTGATAGTGATGTATGTGTTTGTTGTCTTGTCTAAGTTGCATATCAACAGATGACTTACCAAATTAGAAAGTAGTACGAACTTGTAGATCCTTTGTCAGGAGTTCACCAAATCTCTCACTTTTTTATTTTTTGGTATAGAGAAATTCAAAGGTCCTGAGAGAGACAGTAGTAGTACCAAAAAGTTTAAAGAAAGTATATATTTTCCAAAATCTACTATTTACTTGTATTTACCTAGAGTGTAACCAGTACTTATCTTCTGTGGGTGAGTGATAAACTCTAAGCTTGTTGGCAAGTAGTGTATGAGAACTACTTCTAAATGACAAGTGCCACTATAATATTGCAGTGAGTGATAAACTCTAAACCTGTTAGCAGATAGCATATGAGAACTATCTCTAAATAACAGGTGCTGTCTTATGCTTCCCTGCGTTGTTGCTCTTATGTTTCTACAAAGTTTATTGTATATTTTTAAAAAAAATAAGTTAGAAATTTTTGGTACGAGAGATCATCAGAAAGAGTTAATTCAGGGAGGATTTTATTAATCATATCAGGATTCTATGATCAGAATATACATTTGCTAAACTTCCAAATGATTATTTAATCACAAAAAGACCTCTTCCATCTGATCTTCTCAAATTACAACTAAAAACTCAAATATCATTTCCTATTAAAGACAAAGCAACTGTATAACAATTCTTAGAAAAGATACTATTCATTTACTGAATATCATCTCTTCTTCCTCTTGCATATTGTGTTGTCAACTATACTGATCTTTCAGATCTTCCAAATGATTCAAATAATATCATAGAAGTAAATCTTACTTTACCAATAACTATACCCAAAGAACTTTTTATTGCTATAAAAGCTCTTAGAGATACTACTTCTTTTATCGAATTCCAGATTTATAGATAAATATTCTAATATCACAAAATACTATACCAACTAACCAACTTTCAAATATATTAGTAGAATTAAATACTATTATTCAACGGCATTGATCAGATAAAGCAATCGCCTTATCAGTAAAACAATATGATGATATACCACAAATTTTTACCTTCCTCCAACAATACTTCGAATTCACAAATTTTTCAAATTTTCTACTTGAACTACCTAATCTACTATCTTCAAAATAGAATATCTTTGAACCACTTCAATTCTAACCTTTTCATATAGAAACAGAATCTGAAAATAATAGTCAATAAGTAAGACACCTATAACATCAAACTCTACAAATCTTACTGATTTCCCTACTCAAACTCAATAACAACTATTTGAAATTAAAGATCTAAAACAACAAATTAACTTATCAATGCATAATATAAGAGGTCTAAATAATGCAATCAAACTCTAGAACTAGATTGAGTATTGTATAAAAGAAAATTTTCATTTAGTTATACTATCAGAAACTAAACTGAAAAACAAACTAACCTTGTTAACTAATCCTCTTTACAAATTCTACACATCAAATTTTACTCTATCTAACCCTTTATACTATAAAACTGCATTAGACACTGCTCTAATAGTATACAAATTAATTCAACTATATATTCATAATATCAACTCTATTTCTAGCTCTGTAATACATATAAATTTCTTTTTTTCTAATAACAACAAAATACAGATAATCTCTGTTTACCTTCTAACTAATCACTCTCAACTTCTAAAAAGTATATAATCATTAATTAATATCTGGTTAAATAAAGCTAAAACAAAAAATTAGCATTCAATTATTCTTGGAAATTTTAATGCAAATGAACATTCAAACAAAAAACAATTTTCTATTTTTTCATTATTATCTTCTAACAATCTCTCTAGTCTTCTTTTATTTCATAATATAACAGATTTTACATAGAGCAATAATCGATCTTAAAGCCAAATTGATGATATCTGATACTTAAATAACATGATTCTTGATATAGACTACTCAATACTAATAGATACTACTGGTATATTAGATAGTGATCATAAAATCCTAACTACAACTTGGCATACAAACTTTACTCAAACAACTTCCCATTGCAAAAGAAAAAAAATAAAAATATTTCTCTATAACAGATCAACTATAGATAACTGAATAGACTTCACAAAAGCAATTAATATCTCATTAGCAAATCTTCTATCTGATATTATATTAGAGAACCTTAACAAATACTGGTATATTTGGTTAAACCAAATTAAGAGTACTGCTAATTTGCATATTCTATTTACCTTCAAAGCTTCAAAAATATTTAACACACTCTCACTCAAAACAACAAAACTTTACTCCACTCTAACCTATATAAACAAAGCAATTCATCTAATTTCAGTAACTCCAACTACTTCTATATCTATAATAAATCATTATCTACTAATTATCACTAAAACTTTTGAAATTCCTATAAACCTAATAACAACTGAAGATATATCAATAAACAAACAACACATTCTAGATCAATTTAAAGAATATAAAACAATAATATAGAAAAGCAGAAATCAAGAAAAGGCAATGGAACAAAAGAAAAAATAAAATATTATATCAATAGACAATACTCAGATATAAAGGATAATACAAGCTGAAT